TATATCCAAAGAGTGTGGATGACTTGGTATAAAAAAATTAGAACTTTTAATAAGGCTTTATTACTCAAATAGAAGTGGAGGATATTGAAGGAGAAAGATGCATTGTGGAGTGGGATTTTGAGACATATGTATCATAACCCGGAGTTGAAGATTTTTCTCGATGAAGGCAAGGTGGTTAATCAAAGAGACTCAATATGGTAGAGGGACCTTTTATCAGTGTCTCATAAGAATGAAGTTGATTAGAACTTTTTTCTAACAACACTTTTTGCAGGTTGAATGAAGCTAGGAAACCATATCCCATTCTGGTACAACAATTGACTTAGTAATCAAACTTTGGAAGATGTATTCCCTCAAGCTTTTGAGAGGGCTATTGATCCTTACGATTGCGTGGCAGATGCATGCCTTTGGGATGGAAGGGAGTGGATATGGAAGACGATTATGAAGAGAGAAAACTCTTTTGCATAAGGTATTCGGTACAAGGAGAAAATTCAAGTTCTGTTGACTAATAATGAGTTGATGCAGTATGTAGAAGACAATTTTTCTTGGCTGGATGATGATACAAAGAGATCCACAGTCAACTCCTGTTATTATATATTTGATACAAGCTTATTAGAGATTTTGATTGTGGTGAGAACAACTTTGTCAACTTTGTGGAAGTTAAAGATTCTCTCCAACATTCATGTGTTCAGTTGGAGGATGATCCTTGACCAGTTACCAACTAGAGATCATTTATTCAAAAGAATTTTAGTGGGTAATAAAGATAAATATTGTGCGTTCTGTTTCCTGAAAGACGAAGACAATATTCACCTCTTTAGTTTATGCGCGTTTTCGAGAAGAATTTAGGAGGATGTGAACAAATGGATGAGAAATCAAGAAGATTCTAACTTTGATGGCTTATTAAGTTTTCTGTTGAACGTTGAGTAGGTGAACAATGAGAACATTAGAAACAAAATTGGTATGATTTAGTTAGTTACTATTTGGAATATTTGATTCGTGAGAAATGTCATTTTGTTTCAAGGTAAAATTATTAATTTTGAGGATTGTTTACCATCGATTAAATTTATTGTTTGTAATGGATTCAAATACCTTTGTACTATTTTCTTTGATATGAAATATTTCTTTATAGAGAAAATAAATATGAAAGTTTAAATTAAATTAAAGGATTTCAAAATTAATTAAACTTATATTTTATGTGTAGTTATCTTTTAAATCTATAAAATTAAGATCGAGCGGATAATATTGCGCATAAAAATTGAGTGCATGTAGTCAAATTTCATCTGATACATATATATTCTTGCGAAAAACACTAAACGAGTAATTTTCTTGTAGGAACAAGGAGAATCTCAACAATGATAGATTTCTGTATGATTTTGGGGGATTTGGGTGCTACGACATTGATGCATATTGACTCAAGATAAGTGTCTTGTTTATCCCTCTGGTGGGAGTCTATATATATAGCCTTTATGTTGCTCCATTAAGAGCCTCATTCAAGAGGCGAGTCTTTGACTTCTGAACCGTATAACTGCCGTCGTCGCCATGAATGAGTGCGTTCAAGACTGTATAACGCTGGTGTTAATGTACCGATAACCGTTACAATCATTAATAGACTGTGTTGCTAGTTGGCTACGAGCAGATGAACTCCAGTCATGTACGATATTCGGATTGATAACACAGACGGGTTGCTGTCCGGATACAATGACTACTGGTCTTGACCCTTAACCAAGTTAGAATTCGACTCTAGTACTCCTTTATTCCTATAGACTGTATATACTTGCTTAGTTCTCTGTCCAATCGATTTTATGACCCGATTTTAAAACTAATATTTTTGAGATGTACAATATCTAAAGAAAATGGTTATGAAGTTACCCTTAACCTTTCCATATTATTTATTTATATATACTTATTTTCGGATAAGAAATTGGAATCTATTGGGATAAAGTTTCTAGATAAGAAGTTAGAACCTATTGCGATAGCAACTTTACAATGATCCCCTTACATAAGCATTCCATGTAACATGAATTTGTCTTTTCAATGGATAGAGACAATTGCTACTGTGGGCTGCCGTGGCCATATATGGGGATTGAAACGATGATGCAACTGGCTCCACTCCTCCATTATATAATGATACTATATAGGTAAACATGAGATGATATGAGGTCAGGCTTTAAAGTATACATTAAATTAATAACAACTTACACTCAATTGAGAGTTTCAAACGCTCTAAAATCTAATCCAAAGATGCAAGTGGTTCTTAATGGTTTCCCTTGATTAAAGTATTCAGAGTCACTTTTCAAAAAATATGAATTAAGTGTACTCTATTGCTAGAGGTTCTTAATAGAGCGGTTTTAACTTCAATATTTTTGCCCCAGAATACATTTAGACTTTGTTTAGATTGATTTGGACAAAATGGAAAATTGGTTCTATTTATAAGATACTATACAATATATTACAATCAATAGCATAAGTAGCTTAAGAAGAAGTACTCCAGAACAACTCAAATTCATATAAGGATTGGTCTAGCTATTTGGAAATGAGAAACATCATTTACTTGTAATGCAAGTAGGTAGGATAAGTAAAGAGAGTTAGAATTATGTCGACGTTCAAATTTTCTTTTTTATTGTTTTAAACTAAACTTTAAGTGTAAAACTAATGTTAAATGTTAAAAGAGATAAAAGAAGAGAGATTGACCCAAATAATTTAACGTTGTTCACAATACAATTTAGAGATATGTTCAACTCTTTACTTATGATATTTTCATTATAATTTAATTGATTATAATATTATTAAGATATTTTTTTGTTTCAACTAACATATATCTTAGATTTTTCAAAAGTTAGAAATTGATGTCATTCGAATCTCTTCGTAGTCTCAAAGAATTCGACTAGCACTTAATTCTTTGAGAGAAAACAAATACTTAAAAGAATAATTGATGGAGTATTTACAAATATCAAATGTTTATTCAAAATTAGTGGAATATCCGTGCGTTCGCACGAATATCAGTATAGTACATACATTTAGTTTCAAAATATAATAAAAATAAAACGAAATTTAAAAAAATAATAATAATAATTCGGTATTTATAATTCTTCTAATATATAAAAATATTTGAATCAATAATATATATATATATATATATATATATATATATATATATATATATATATATATATATATATATATATATATATATATATATATATATATATATATATATATATATATATATATATATATATATATATATATATATATATATATATATTATTTTGAAATTGTTGTAAATTTTTTTTAATCCAATAGTAAAGTTGTTATATTATTATTTAATATTTTGATCAGTAACTTCATGTTGATCAGTAATTTTATATTCTCGTTAATATTTAATATTTTGACCATTTACTTCATGTTCCCGTTAATATTCAATATTTTGATCAGTAATTTAATATTTCGATTAATATTCAATATTTTGATCAGTATCTTCATGTTCTCATTAATATTTAATATTTTAGATTAGTAACTTCATGTTTCTGTTAATATTCAATATTTTGATCAGTAATTTAATATTTCCGTAAATATTCAATATTTTGACCAATAACTTCATGTTCTCGTTAATATTTAATATTTTGAATAATAACTTCATGTTTCCGTTAATATTCAATAATTTGATCAATAACTTCATGGTACCTTTAATATTTAATATTTAAATTAATAACTTCATATTCTCATTAATATTCAATAGTTTGATTAATAACTTCTTGTTCCCGATATGGTACGCACATTTGTTCTCAAAATATAATAAAAATAAAATGAAATTTTAAAAAAATAATAATAAATCGGTGCCTATAATTCTTTCAATATATAAAAACATTTGAATGAATAATATATTTGTTATATAAATATTATTTTTATTTTGGAATTGTTGTAAAAAATATCTAAACCAATATTAAAATTGTTTTTATTAATATTTAATATTTTGATCAGTAATTTTATGTTCTCGTTAATATTCAATAATTTAATCAGTAACTTCATGTTTTCGTTAATGTTCAATATTTTGATTATTAACTTAATATTTCTGTTAATATTTAATATTTTGATCAGTAACTTCACTTTCCCGTTAATATCAATATTTTGACGAGTAACTTCATGTTCTCGTTAATATTCAATGTTTTGATCAGTATCTTCATGTTTCCGTTAATATTCAATATTTTGATCAATAACTTCATATTCCCATTAATATTCAATATTTTGATCAACAACTTTATATTCCCGTTAATATTCAATATTTTGATAATTAGTAAATTAAACAAATTCTTATATTTATTAATCTATCAACTAAATTGCATTAAATATCTATGTGAACGACATTAACCATTTTATATATGCTTAAATTTATTTTATATATATGTTAAAAAAATACAAGAGTTCATAATATACAACTGGAACCATTTTTGTGAGGATAACATCATATCCTAGTGCCCTTGGTACAACATGCGCTATGAGATTAGGCACAACACATGAAAATGACATAATAATGAGTAACACCATTTTTTGTCACAATAATAAAAAGTAATGAACTATCCACAAAAGCAAAATTTGTATCATTATTGTGTCAAACAAACTTCTTTGTCCAATCTTAAACTGACTGATTTATTCTTTCCAATAGATACAACCTGTGTTTCTGAAAGTTAAATCTAAAAAGAAAAGAAATTAAAAAAAGATGTCCTCATTCACAAATATGAGTGGATATGAACAATGAAATCAACAACCAAGTTTATTTGCAGCAGCAATTAACCAAACAAAAATCCATGGACAGAATCAGGTCCCCTAAAGGAGATTATCAAGGGGTCTTCTTAAAGAAGCTTTCAACATTGTTATTTGACATTTCTTCATAAGTAAATCTTCATCAAGTGTCGGTATATCCAATTTCAGCTTACCAACCTGTGACTTTAACAGCATATTATGCTCCCTAAATTGCTCCATTTCCTTCGACATATGTCTCTCTCCTACAACACTTTATGCAACTCTGCTCTCGTGCTTATTAGTTTCCCGCTAGACTCGTCAAAATTACTTTGAAGACAGTTCATGCGCTCATCTTTCTTCAACATCCGATACAGTAGAACACAAGAAAATAAGTTTAACTTTCAAATACTAACAATAGAATAATGTAAGTACACATGAAAATATCTCCATTAGCTGAATTTAATCAATGAATGTCAATACTGGTGACAGACCTGAAGTTCAAGATTCTTCAACTCATGAGACACCATTGAAAGGTTGTCATATGTATTTTGTACCTCAGACCTAAGTATATCGTTACCGCATTCTTTTGTTGCAAGTGCAGGTCGCATTTGCTCAACTTAGAACTCTTTAGAGAACATTTTTTCTTTTAATAAACTTGTTACCAAGCGTTCTGCTTTAAGCTGAACTCTTAAAATATCCTATAGAAGAAACAACATGAGGCACACACTAAGAGAATAAAAAAGAAGATAATTTTAAAACAGGTCGGTAACAATAGTAGAATAGGTCATTTAAAATATTATTCATATAAAAATCAAGAACAAATTACAGAAGAAACTCACCTCAGATGATTGATCATTCAATTTAGCTATCATCTTCTATATGCTCTGACTTAAGATTTAAAGTCAACAAATTAGACTTTTCTTTTAACAAAGAAGGCATCATCTGCAAACTCCTTGTTAAACACTCAATGCCGCTTGAGTCCATGAATTTTAGTTTCATATTCAATAATAAATTGCCCATCCAAACCCTTTCCAATTACTCCTTCCACTGTAACGAATTCCATCAACTAAGAACACAAGTCTGTGCTTGTATTTAGCATTTCTAGGCCTTGATTCTGAAAAATGGCATTGCAACCCTATGGCCAGAGATATTATAGCTGAAAAGAACAAATCAAGACAAAGTCGAGTCCATATTAAAACCTCAAAACACTAACTAAATAGTTCATTTGTTTCTTTCTCTCTACATCGAAGTTAAAAGGGCAGCTACCGCAAAAGAGTGAGGATAAAAGCACCAGTCGTTACTCCCATACACATCATGACACCAATCCTAAAATAGTTGAGGATCTCCAATATTTGAACTGTCAAGTCTTCAATTTATTCAACATGATTATTAGAAGAAATCACAGTAGCTCCTAACTGCAAGAACTCTTGTTGAAGTTCCAAATGAGAAACTATGTATTCAAATCTATTCAGAAATTATGAAGCAGCAAAGAAACAACCTCTAGACAACTCATACAGGTGAAACAACGAATAAGCTTTGGAAACATGACTTATCTATAGCAATTCATACAGGTGAAATATCAACTCATGTTTCCGTGACATTCTAAAATAGCTTATACATAAATTATATCCGCTTATACTATAAGTGCTTCCTTCATTAAGCTATTTGTTCGAATAAGACGATAACCCACTTAAAATTTAGCGCTAAATCTGGATAACTAATCAGAGTTGGTTTGTCGTAATCCCCGCAGACTATGACAGATACAGAGCTAGAGCAAGTTTGAGATCATTTGCTTCATAATCTTGGACATAAATAAAGAACTTGCAAGCTCGACACTTCTCAAACAGACCCATCAAAGGTGACTTCAATGCTTCAACATCTGTTGATGGGACTTTGTAAATCTGAAAATTAACAGACAAAGATATGTTGCCATAAGTTTTCATGTAACGTAAACTCCCATAAATTGTAACAGATAACAAATCCCTAGTTCAATTACTAATAAGAAAGCAACCTTTTCCATGGTTATCAAATACGTCATTGGTACCAAAAACTGCCTGAAGAGAGATGGGATTGTCTCTGCTATACAAGCAATGTCGTAAAATCATCATTCCTTCAAAGTATCGCCCTTTGTGTAACGAATTGACGCAATAATGCCAAAGTAGCAAAAAATTAGAGTCAATATGAAATTATATCCAATAGCATAATTATCAGTACTTACGGTAAAGATGAAAACATGTTTATCAAAGATTTTTCTCAATATTTACGGTAGAGATGAAGCTACCATCAGTAGCATGATCGTTGGTGGGTTCATATCTGTCATAGATGTCATAGTAAATCTCATCTATTGGTCCAAGTAGATCAATTCCATGTTTTAATTCAACCTGAGTTTGGTCAATTTCTGCTTCTGTTGTAACAAAAGCAACATATTTTTCTTTTGGAGCAACATTGTGAGCATAAGAGCAGCAGGAAAAATACCTGCAATAATCACAGAGATCACAAACAGATTAGCATCGAGTTAAGACTAAGAAAGCACCTTAGAAGCTACACGTCCAAACCAAACTTACATGTCCAATTTACGACCAAGTTGCTTCTGTGGCAGAATGACAGGTGCTGCACTATAGCCATTTACACACCACTAGCAGACTACTCACACTGCACTATAAACATTTGCCATTTTTCATAGAGTTTATAGTTGTGCTCTCCCTGATATTGGTAAGTTCATCCAATTGTAAAATATCTACATCCCATGGTAGTGATTTTAACCTTTTACCTTGATATCAAAACAGAAAATAAAATTTAGCAAATACAACATAAGATAATCCATACCTTCAAACTTGGAGATTTGCGAACAGATGAAGCAGAATCAAGAGATAAAACTTCTAAACTTTTCCTTCTATAGCTGTTTTTTTCTTTGATTGTGCACTACCACCATAGAGTTCCACTTGATGCTCATTTATTGTGATTGTAGAATCACCTCTAATGGATGTACCAGGAAATTTTTCATTCATTACCAAAACCAAGAGATCATGGACATCAACCAAATAACTAAATCAAAACATGACTGGACAATAAAATCCTATAATAATAAAGTTAAACCACTACCTTTTCGCAAGAGCCAAACATTTTTACGATTTTTACCGAATCCATGGGCTTTGATGGCACATACCTAAAGAGTAAGACCATGAAACAAATACCAAATTAAATAAGCAAGACTAAGAATCCAAAAATTAAAATACCAAAAATTAATGTAAATTGCTGAAAATGTAAAAAGCATGAACATGGCCAGAATGTTAGAATGCATATATTTTGACAACAAAGCGAAAAAAAATTGTTTTAGACTTCCCATAAATAGTTCTCAATGTTACATCAGAAACAAACAATGACACAAACACTTTGGATTCTTTGCTTTAATGTAATATATCAATATTTCAATCCTTGGTCAGAATTACAAATTATACACACAAATTCGTGTCTAAAAGAAGTTTGGAATTTTAAGACATACCGGTGATCAAAAATAAAATTCTTTCCTTTGAAAAAACCGCCATCAGGAATTGCTTCGAGTTTGTACTCCTACATCCATCAGATCCGAAGTTAGATTTTCAATATTAAATTTGATTTCAATGCAAAGAAATTTATAGGTAAAGGAAGAAAAAGAAAAAGAAGATAAAATGAAGGAAGAGAGAAAGAAAGAGAAAGCAGACGGTATGAAGAAGAAGAAGGGAGGCGGAATGGGAAAATGAAATGGTCGTGGATTAATGAGTTAGGATCGTGGTTGATGAGTGAAGACGGTTTGTGTACAAGAAGGAACACATATGAGAAGGGAAAAGAATTGAAAGATGATTGGTTATGTTTTGTAACCGGCAGTTTCTATGGACAACGAAAAATGCAACGAAAACAGAGGATAGGAATTTGAAGCAAAATATTTCCTCTCTTCTCAAGAAGTCAAGTGTTGGCTGCAGATCAATTGAAGGAAAAATTCTACTTTTCTTATATTGTAGATATTGATCAATGTTGTTAAGTGCAATTGAATGAATAAAATAGTGAGAAGTTGAGTTTTTATATACCTTTTTTTTGTTCACTGTTATTTGATCTTGATCTTTGATAAATATGTCATTGTAATATTTGGATTATTGCAACATACTATTTCACTCCATTGAATTAGAATATGATTCCTTAATATTAACATCATATCTCTATTGTTTAATGTATAGTCAATAGCATTTATATTCTAATTATAGGCTAGAATATTATGTTTCCATATTGGGTGTATAGCCATCATTACTAGTTTAATTGTAGGTGTGATACAGTGGCAGAACCGAAACTGTTCGAATGCTGGTTTGCGTTTTGTGTTTGTGTTTGTAAAATGTCGCGGTAAGTAAGAGTCGCCACCGACTTTTATTTTATCCAACTGGAAAGGAAAAAAATACAGAAAAATTCATTTTTTTGAGATATTCTGAGTACGGGGGTAGATTATAGAAAGGGGATGTATTAACACCCTTTCCATCCGTAGTTTTCTACGGGCTCTTAGGTATTTGCTCATCATTTTCAAAATTGCTTGTGTGTGTTTGATTTGAAAAAGTTTTTGTTTGACTTCGATTTAACCCTTGCTTCTGTCTTCAAGAGTGTTACGAAGTTGTTTTTGAAAACTTTGTTTGAAAAAAAGTGTAAGTGTGAAAAAGATTGTTTGTATTGAGCAAGTATCTACTAGCATCTACCTACTCGAAAAAAGAATTGTTCTATGCTTGTTTCCTTTAGACAACGTTATCCTACTATTAGTGAGTAGGTAGCACCATCGTTGGAGTTGTAAGGATCAATTCGAAAGGGACGTACGATCACTAAAGCAATGTTAGGACGTCTTAGTAATAACCCTAATGTCTTAAGATCAATATTCGAGGCAACAATTCTGAGGCAACCTTTCTGAGGCAACTTTGATCTTTGAGACAGAAGAGCGACCACTAAAATACCATATACTTAATGATTGTTTACCGAAGGCAACCGAAGTGAGAGTATATCCTAGGAGTGCGCATGTGCGAGTGATTCAATTTCAAGTTTATTATCTTTACACATTTAGGGTTTGCTAACCGTTTTAAAGTTTACATACATTCTTGTCATGCGACCCTGATATCATACATCTAACAGTTAATATTTGCGAGAATTTAAAGTGCGGAAAGTAAAGCTACGCTATTACAAGGCTTCGGGTATTAATTACATAGCCAAAAACAACCCGTAAAAAAACGATAAATGAACGAAAAAACCCAAATTAATCTGTTACATCCCATGAGCAATTACACCAATATTGTAAAAATAAATAAACGCGCGACGAATTGAGAACGAAGGGAAATTAGGGTTTTGACCCCGTCTAACCTAATTAAAAGAAAAAATATTTTTGTTGTTTGTTTTTGATTATTTTAAGAAAAAGAATAAGACTTTTAAATTAAATATAAATCTAATTAGTAATTAAATTAATTAAAGAAAATAATTTACATAGCCTATTTTTATATTTTTGGTTATTTTTTTAAGAAAAAGAAAATAGAATTTAAATTAAACAAAACCCTAATTTCTAACTTATTTTAATTTATTTACAAAATAATTAAAGTTACTCGAAAATTAAATAAACTAATTAAATTAATTTTTGAATAAAAAATAAATTCTAAATCTAATTGGATGAAAAGTGATTTTATGGTTTTTTTGAAAAAAAAGAATTAATTTGGTGTTAGTAAAAATAAATTAAATGAATTAATTAAGAAAATATAAAAAGAAAAGTAAAAGGAAATGAGCCTGAAATCAGTAATTGGGGGGGGGGGGTATGAATAGCAAGCTCTTAGGCCTAAAAATCTGACCCATGTTGACTTTCTAGGATTCCATGCTGCTTGTTGACTGGGGTGTATCATGGTCCTCCACATGATGGACGCTAGATTTGGCCTGTGGACATCTGGTTAGTTGGATGATGATGGTCCATGGTGATCATCACACCTATACGCGCGCCTGATCATTTAAAGAAAAATAATGTGAAGTACATGGGGGACCTGGGATTCGAACCCAGGCCCCCAAAGCATTTTCCACCTGCATCATTACCAACTGAACCACACACTTTTATTGTACATGGAATAACAATTAATCAATATATTGAAAACAAACAAAATAAAAAAGCATCACGCGCGAAATTTCAAATAGGGCAATCAGGGCTTGCCACGCAGGTCGTCTTCTTCCCCTATTCGTTGGTAAAAGTCAGAGACTTTTACCTACGGACAAACGTCCGTCGCCACAAACCCTGCACATTGGAAAATCATATACAGGCATGATAAATGAATTCTAATGTTGTGGATTGATTCGTCTTGGCCAGCTGAGCATCATGGTGCCCTTCTTGTGGACCAATTTTGCCTGTGTAAAAAGATCCTAAAACGAGACAACAAAACCTAGCAATGGTAGATTCCAGTATAACCAATAAAAATGAAATTAATTGTTATGAGTAGCTTGCAAATGCTTCAAGGAATAAGAATATGTAAGTATTTCATGATATAAGTGCCAAAATAACGTGATTCAATTCCAAGAAAAGTTCAAAGTCGTGGGTCACTTACATTGGGTTTTAGCGCAGAAAAATCCTTGTTCTTGATTGGTATAGGTTCCTTGAGTGCTCAGGAAGCGAAAGGGATACTTGGAAAGGTTTGAAAGCACCTGCAAATACGAAAACAAATCACCTCTTTCTTTGATTTTTTCCAAGTTTGGTTCTGCCTTTGTGCGCCTAAAAACCTTGTGATTTTGGTCTGCAAATGTACACTATATACCACTGGTTGAATTAGGGTTGCAAAAGTGTTCTCAATCTTTATCAATTATGGCTTTTGATCTTGATTTGATTCACTTGAAAATCTTTCCAAAATAGGCCAAAATCAATCTTTTAGTGCCCACTTATGCCTTGCACGAATTGATTCACTTGCTAGCTGGATATAGGACCTGAAATGTGCACAAGATCTTGAGGTTTCAATGATTTGATTTTTTCATGATTTGTTTTGATTTAAATTGATTTAATTGCAATAAAAATCAAAATAAATAGCAAAAATAAGATAAAGACAAGTGGAAAGATCTAGGGCCCGTGGAACATGCTAACAACTCAAAACAAGTGCAAAAAGTTAGGCCCATTTAGCAAAAATTGCAATTTGAGACACTTTTGACTTTTGGCAATTTTGCAAAAAAGGTCAACTTCACCAATGCATAACTTCCTCAATTTTGAATCTTTGAAGGTGTGCTTGGACTTTTTAGAAATATTGAGATTTCCTCTAAGCAACCCTTTTTGTCTCATCTCAATTGAGTCTTCCATGTTCATGTATGAAGCTTTGACAAAAAAGATGTTTTTGTTGGCTTTTCAAAATGACCTATAATGTCCAAATTCATAACTTCTTGTGAGTGCATATTTTGAACTTGGGAGATGAATATGAATTGTAGGGAATTGAATCCTATTCAAAATGATATTTGGATGT